TTTGCTTCAATTAGCTGTACTTCTTCAACGAGGGGTTCATATTTGGACTGCCTCACATTTTTTTTCATAAATACTTTTCCGGGGTTATCAACCATGAAGGAAGTGCAGCTCCATTTATAGCTTTTCTGGAATGATGAAACATTCGCTCATGAGGGGTACTGTTTGTAGATGTACACAAAAGAGAACGAATTGAATGAAGAGCTATCTCAACTACTTCTTCCCACTGTTCAGTTTTTAAATGTTTAGATTTTAATGCAAGAGAAATAGTTTTCCATATAATTCCATTATATCTTTCTGTCTGGCCATTTCCTTCAGGATTGTAAGATGTTGTTCGGCTTGTTGGTATTCCTTGTGAATGGAGAAATGTTTTGACTTCTTGAGACATAAATGCCCCCCCTTGGTCTGAATGGATATAACTAGGCATTCCAAATAAAGAGAATAAGTTTGTAAGACACTTCACAACAGTTTTCGCTGAAACATCTTGACATGGATATACAAAGGGGAATCGAGAATATTCATCAACAATTGTTAGGATATATTTGTTATGAGATCTAGATGGAAGCGGTCCTTTAAAATCCAGAGACAATCTTTCAAAAGGCGAAGTAGCTTTAATTAATCTCCCTTGAGTTTTCAAAAACTTTGGTTTTATTTCTGCACAGATAGGACAGCGATTGGTCATTTCACGGACTTCATCAATAGTATATGGTAAGTTGCGTGTCTTTATCCAATGGACCATTCTGGTGATTCCTGGATGACACAAGGATTGATGTAGTTCAAATAGACTTGGTCGAGGATTTATTGAACAGCTCACTCGTGAGAAAGTATCTGGCACTACATTCTCAACTCCTGGTCGGTACTGAATATCGAAACTGTAGCATGATAATTCAAGGCGCCATCTGATAATCTTCTCATTTTTTATCTTACTAGTGTGGCGCATATTGAACATAAAAGAGACAGACTTTTGATCAGTTATAAGTCGAAAATGTTTACCTATCAAGAAATGTCTCCATTTTCTAAGAGCTTCCACTATTGCATAAGCCTCTTTTTCCACTGATGAATGATTTCTTTCACTTTTTGATAAGGTTCTTGAAAAGAAAGCAACAGGTCTTCCTCCTTGGCTAAGAGAAGCAGCAATACAAAAATCTGAAGCATCAGATTCAACGATAAAAGGAATCTTGTCATCAATTGTAGTAACAGCTGAAGAAATAATTTCAGATTTAAGAATTTGGAAAGCTTCAGCTGCTTGTTCTGTTAAAGGAAAAGTATTGCATGTGACTAGTTTTTGTATCTTTTCTGAAAATTGTGGGATAAATTTGGAATAATGTGCAAACATTCCGACAGCTCTCTTTAGTGATTGTGAATCGTTTGGTAAGGGTAACTTCTTTAATGGTTCAAGTCTTTCAGGATCAGGTTTTAAGGTCTGATTTTCTATTTGATAACCCAAAAGTTTGATTGAATTTAGTGTATAAGAACTTTTATTTTGATTTATTGTTAGATTGTATTTCTTCGCTACTTCCATAAATTTATTAAGATTTTCATTATGTTGTTGTTGATTTAATCCACAAACCGTAATGTCATCAAGATATGCATACACACCTTTTAAATGTTCGGATTTAATAATACCATCGATAACCCTTTGAAAACAAGCCACTCCGTTGGTTACCCCAAAAGGAATCCGGCAAAATTGGTATAGTTGGCCGTTGGCTTCAAAAGCAGTGTATATTTTCTCTTCATTTTTAATTGGAATTTGATGGTATGCATTTTTAAGATCAATAGTACTGAAGACAGAATATCTTGCTACTTTTCTAACAATATCTTCAACATCTGGGAGAGGATAGGCATCTAAGTAAGTAAATTTATTAATTGTTTGTGAATAATCTACCACCATTCGCTTTTTGTGTGTTTCACTTTTTGTAATAAGTACTTGTGCACGCCAAGGAGAGTTGCTTTCTTCTATGATTCCATTCGATAGCAGATACTGTATCTCGTCAGATATGAATTTTCTATCTTCAGTTGAAAATTTTCTTGATTTAGTTGCCCTCGGTTTGCAATCATTTGATAGATTGGAGAATAATTTGGGTGGCTCTATATTTAAGTATGCCAAACTACAAATGTTATCTATATGATCAATAACTAAAGGCATTTTTGAGCCAGCAAAAGTGATTTCTAGAGAAGAATGTTGTTTAAGCAAGTCATGACCTATAACTACATCAGCACATAAATCTTGAATTATTGATAATTTGACATTTTTATATGAATGTTCGTTTATTTCTAAATTAACAAAGCAGTGTCCTGAGATAGTCGTTCTGAGTGCTGTTGAAGCCATTATTATGCTTGCATGACTTCTAAATGTTTTCACGTTTATAGACAATGCATAATTCTTACTGATATATGACTCAGAACTACCTGTGTCTATTAAACTTTCAGCTGTATTTCCATTCACCTTTATCTCAGTAACACTTTTAGATAAGCATTGAGGGGCAGCAGCAAGATTTCTAACATTCGAACTAGATGTAGTAGTAGCTAAAACAGCAGCTGATACTGAATTGGGCATCTGAAGCCTACATACCTTGGAAAAATGTCCAACTTTCGAGCATTTCTTACAAACTTTGTCTCTAGCAGGGCATAGGCTACGAGGATGCCTTTCAGTTGATCCACAAAAGTAACATTTCCAACTTTTCACAGCAGCAGAAGTATAATTAGTGTGCTCTCTGGTTTCAGAAGAAATTGCATTAATAATTTGTACAGGAGTTGTATAAGCCTCAGAGTGTTTTGAAGCTGACTCCAGAGACTGGGCTTTTACTATGGCATCTTGCAGAGTAATAGTGTTGTTTTCTAGTAAACGTTGTCTTATGTCATTAGAAAGAATGCCATTAATAAAAGAGTCTCTTATATAATCTTCTCTATTTTGGTCTGCAGAAACGGCTAGAAAATTACAGTCTTTGGAAAGCACTTTAAGATGTTGAACGTATTGACCTATATTTTCACCAGTTTGTTGTTTTTTTTGTCATTAGGATATGTCTGGCAAAAATTTCATTTTTGGGTTTAACAAAAGCTGCTTCAAGAATACTTTTGGCTTCAGAATACTTTCTACAATCAGAGATGAGTTCATAGATATTGTTGCTCACGTAATTTACCAGTAGTTTGAATTTCTCCTCCTCTGAAACATCAATCACAGAGGAAATAAAGTTTTCAAAGGTAGCTTTCCAATGCATCCATTCTTGAGACGATCTAGGAGAGTTAGGATCAGCATCGAATCTGTCTGGTCGTAGTAGCTTATCCATATTTGATATTTCTTGTATATTAAATTGTAATGAAATGCAAAACCTTTATAAACTAGGTTTTAATATACAAGAAATTAGCATTGTTTTGTTTGAATGAATAACATGACAATTACATATGACATTAACTAAAACTAAGATGACAAATGACAAACACAGTTCACAGACCACAGGACAACCGCAACGTAGCAAAAAATAACTAAATTTACTAGACCGAGTATATCAACGTTTTAAGTTAGTTATTAAAAAGTGTGGGTAATCACATACTTTATTCAGTTAGTGAGGAATACGGCCTGAGCCTCAACTTCAAGAAGACAAAGTGGATGCTGATAAGCAAAAAGCAACAACCTGCTCGACAATTACGGATAAGTAACATACTAATTGATCATGGAGAATCTTATGTGTACCTTGGCACCAACGTAAATGCAAAATGGGAACAGACCATAGAAATTAAGGCGAGAATAGAACGAGCTAGAGCAGCATTTAGCAATATGAAAAAGCTCCTCATAAGCAAGGATTTGTCTCTTCCCCTAAAACTACGTCTAGTTAAATGCTACATTTTTCGATCTTGCTGTATGGCGTGGAGGCCTGGACGCTGACGGAGACGCTAACGAGGAAACTAGAAGCATTCGAAATGTGGGTGTACCGACGCATTCTTCGTATATCCTGGACCGAACATGTCACCAACATAGAGGTACTCCAAGAATCGGAAAGGAGAAAGAAATCGTGAATACAATTAAACAAAGAAAGCTTGAATATCTAGGTCACATATTGAGACACGATAAGTACCGTCTGCTACAATTGATTGTCCAGGGAAAAATAGACAGTAAGCGAGGGCCAGGCAGGAGAAGACACTCGTGGCTCCAAAATCTGCGGAAGTGGTTCGGGTTCACATCGGTCGAACCATGATATAAGGAAACAAGGTATGCTCACTAGGTGGACTCGTTTTTGCACATTTCTGCGCCGACCAAAATCCACCATCTTTTCAATATGTCACATGTGTGTAGGGATGGTGACCTGATCCCGTACCAGTTACTTTGGAACATGTATTTTATTTATACTTGTGGAACTGATCCCTAACACCAATATATTATAAAAAACGAGTACGGGTCATGGCCGTATAAATAAAGATCTTTATTTATACGTCCATGGTACGGGTACTGTACTCATAGTAAGTGTAAGTGAGCATACCTGACCTGATCCACAAAAATACTTGGATCAACCACCTCTACATGCGTGACGTCTGCTTTGTTTACTTTTGCATTTTTTAACCTTACTTTGCAATGTACTGGAATTTAAATGTAAATGTGTTTTTGTTTTGTTTCGATTTTTTAAAAATTATTTTAGCAAGAGTCTGTTCAGATCATTTTAAATATGAATTAATTGGATTAATGTATAATATTAATTTTATTTTATTTAATTTAACTACGATATTTCGTATCAATTTTGTACATATTTGAATTGCCGCCTTCAAAATGGCGGATTTTGGTCGTAAACGTGATTGGCTGTTCAAAATAGATGCGCGTGAGCATACCATGTTTCCTTATATCATGGGTCGAACTATTCAGAAGCGCCGCAAAAAAGATTAAAATTGCCATGTTAATAGCCAACGTTCGCAACGGACAGGGTACTTGAAGAAGAAGAAGTGGGTAATCAAATGTCATTGTTTGCCATTTAATCAATCTTAAAATAAAAATCGTTTATTAAATATTTATTTTTCTGCAAGGACCATGTGATAAAATTCCACGCTATAAATATATTAGCTTATAGCTAAGAACAAAGTCACTAAGTACCCATTTTTAGATTTTGAGAAACTTTAGAGGAAAACTTTGTTGAAATTTTTGGCATCACCCTTTACTTCGAATGTCATTGACACTATGACGTAAAACGACAATTATTTTACTATTAACGTACATTTAGTATTCTTATATACCTCTTTCTGAATAAACTCTCCTTATAAAATCTAGTCCAGGTCACAGCTCAGTCTTCTTCTTCGTATTCGAGTTTATTCAACAAATTTCTATCGATGATAGCGGAAATCACAGTAAATAAAATAATAGACACTCCTCGTAGTGTTAGGCTCATTTCTCTTAGATTTGTTGCTAATCACGGATCCAGGTTGAGCAGTCCATTGGACACGTCGTTACGCATATTGGACTCCATGCTCTCGGCGAGTACTTCCAGGATGTCTAAGATTAATTCTTTGCTGAGCATGCGCAGTCTTGGAAGTTTTGCCACCTGAAAAATAAAATAATAGTAAACAAAAATTGGTGGCTCAAAATACTGAAATCGATGCTCCCAGGGAAAACTACAAAATGTGATAATTTCTCCTTTACAGTACATGTACATTATTTTCGTCGAAATAATAATAAAAGCAACAGGAAAATAGTAAAATTCCATAGTTAATTTGAAACACCGCTAATGAAACTTTCATTTTATTCATTTAAGTGTAATAAAATGATTCTCTCAGATTCTGAAAAGTATTAAATAAAACAGCATGATGTCAACGAATATAGATTTAACTGTCCGGGAAACGATATGTCCCTACTCGAAACAGCACTCACCAGTTATGATCTGCAATAGCCAACCAACTGGATTGAGTTACTACCATAAAATATTATTATTATCAACTTTCATCGATCACCCACTAGTTCACAACATACATTAGATATGCCGATCCACTTCATGTTCGAGGTACAAAAGTTTTTCACATCAAGCCTTCCTCATGTTGGCCTTAATGGAAATGTTGACCAGTATATTAACAAAGCTACCTACGAAATTACCTCTTTGACAACAATCCAGTTTAGCATTAATCTTAAAGCTACTGTTAATTAATATAATAAAAGTCAATTTAAAAATCCTGGCAAACTATCTGGAACAACAGCTCTAACTCGGTTCGAAGTATCAATTATAAGAAATTCTGTACTGGTCACAAAACATTGACACATGAATATTTGATATCCTCCGAAGAACGTCCAACCCGCCCGAGTTGCATGTTGCACTCACCGTTAATCATATACTAATGAACTGTCAGCAGTACAACGTCATTACTCGAAGATGCAACTTGAAACCACCCACTAAAAGTAATTTTTAACAATACCAGTAAATACATAAATATATTACAATTTCTTAAGGAAATTAATTTTATAATAAAATTTAAAATATAACCTATAATGTATACCAGCTGTTCCGTGCCAAAAATCATGTTTGACGAAGCACCAAATTTAATATAACACAAGTCTCTGCAGGTGTGTGTTTTTGATTAGTTTGAGCGTTAGCAAAATCGAAGATGGATAGCGACATTGAAAAAATCAAAAATAATATTGAAAATATTTTTCCAAGAAGTTCCTATTCGCTCCGTGCGTGACCATGGTAGGGATACATTGAAACGATGCCAGCGTGCGTAGCGGCGAAATATGACAAAATTGGAATATTGGACAAAATATTTTTACGCATAAATTTTATCAAAAATGTGTGCAAATACATGTTGCGTATTTAATTGTGCTAATAATAGCAAAAACAGTGAGTGTAGTTTTTATAGGTTCCCAAAGATTACTTATAAATTAGAGAAAAGAAAAAGATGAATTCGTGCTATTAATATGAAAAAGTAAATATCACATAATTTCATTTTTATGCAATTGAAATAGGAAAAATTTAAATAATTTACCTTGAATGATATTTCATAAGGCTTTAAGCTAACTGCAGATGACTTTAGCTTTTATATCATAACTTTTACTATTATTGTTTTTAATTATATGCTCTTTTGCGTGAAAAACTTGATTTGCCAGTACTAGATTTTTCCCTTTCTTTTCCGTTTGGAGTTGAAAAGATATATTATGATGAATTTTGAGAAACCCAGTTTTTAATACTACATTTATTTTGTACATAAACTGAAAAAATATAGTTAAAAAATTAATTTATTAATAATTGTCAATTTCGCATGTATTTAACAATGTCAAACATATGTCATATGTTTAACTGAAAATTGGGACTCCAAAATTGTCAGATGAAGGCGGTAGGTGTCGCGTCAGTCACGCCACGGAGCGAATACTACATACTAAAATGTAAGGCTCGAACTAACAGTAGAAAAAAAATATTTCTAAAGAAAAAAATAATGTAAATATAATTTCAGTGAAGAATGTCTGATTTATTACACAGCTTACCTTGGTAAAATGATGAACAATCAAATCCAAAGCGTATTTCTTCATGTCCGTAGCTTGCATTTTATCCGCAGCTTCCAAAATTTGAATGACGTTCTCAAAAGTGACATTCATTTCGAGATTCTGTTTACAAAACGCTTGGAGGCGATTGTTGGTAAAACCATAGAAGAAAGGTGCAGAGAAGAGATAGAGAGAATCTTCAGGTGGCATGTTGACGTCTCCATAATATATGTACCGAAGGAGGGAATCGAATGATTCCTTTGATGGAATCATTTCTCCGATTTGTATCTAAAAATTAGCAACTTATTTTATAAGTTCAAGTGATTATAGGTCAGCAGTATTGTAATTATGTATAAAAAAATAATATATTCAATCTTATCTATTATTATTATTTCAAATGTAATTTTGTTTATATATACATTGCTTTCGGCAAATAATATCTCGATCAGATTCATTCTTATGTATTATAATACACATTTTTATGAAAATGGTGGTTTGAGGTTGGATGTTCTAGAAATAGAACTCAGCTTCTGCCAACAAATCTTCATCTCACGCCTCCAAAGGCGTAATCTCTGTATGCATGATATACAATGCAAAAGTCGAGTTTCTGGTGCCTAAAAACTGGAGGCATAGCGCTGATAAAAAAACCCCATAAGAAAATTCGACTCTCCAAGGGCGGGGCTTAAAGTAAGGCGAACGACCTTTAATTTATAAAAACCTTGTAGCATTTTAAAATTCTATTTTGTGTGAAGTTTTAATTCACGTATTTCAAATCCCATCCTGTATAAGGTTATATGCGATTGAAAAAATCTTCAAAGAATAACATTTTAGTGCCTCTTAGATTAGAATAACAAGGTCCTTTTCTTTTAGTTAGTAGTTAGTAGAATTCATCTTCTTTATTCTTTTTGACTTCAGTATCTCCCGTTTCAATTAAGCGATCTCTAAACCCACGTTCCAAAGCTCGCCGTTGTGTTCTTCAAAACACCTGAGTGCTGGTTGTAAAGTGAACGTACTTGAACGTGGAATTCATCATTTATCTCATATTTCAAATAAGAAACTTCCCCTTGGGTTCTTATACCCACCATAATACCAAACTTTTGGTATTCTTGTATTCCCTACCAGGCCATGGTACGTTACAACATTATATCGAACAGAACTTATAGTGGACAAAAACAGCAATGAAATGGATTATGAATTTCAGAATATAGAACCAAAATATGGGGAAAGAGAAACAGCGGGACACCATGCAAGAAGTCGGGAATCGGAATTTAGATGTAGCTATCCTGTCAAAGATTATAATCCAGCAAATCAACAATGAAATGGGTCATTAGTCAAAGACTGCAATTTAACATATTTGGGCAAACACACCAATATCTGCATAGAAGGGTTGATGCACACAAACATAGTGTACAAACTAACAAATCAAACAACTCCCTTAGCCAAGCATTCTCTGGAAAAGAGCCATTCTTTTGATTTTGAAAATGTACAGATTTTGGAAAGATCACAAGATGTATCACAATTTAATAAATTCAGTTGTTTATGCACCATGACAGATGTTTAAAATACGAGCCTGAACCACTCGTGTTTTAAAGTACCTGCCAGATGTATTTGAGAATCAGATACCATTTCTGAGTTCCACGTAAAATCACCAAATAGTGTAGACAAAAAAATATAAATGTGTATTACGTAATGTTAAATAATTAAAGTTCTTATTGAAAATGGCAAAAAGCCGAAACGTTTAAGCAATAATTTTTTTTACCAGAGTTCCGTGAACAAAATAGAAAAATCTATTATTTAGACGAAACTTTATCTGCTGATTCAGCTGTTGACTCATCTGTTGTGTCTTGATTTTGCTGTGTAAAAACATTTCGACTATAAGTTCAGAACACTGAATAATTCCGATATTAAATAGATTAACTCGGTTATTTTGACTAAGAGAATTAAATTTTTCTCAAAAATAAACTTCGAATATTGATAATTGCCTTTCGTTTTATTTACTGCTGAATATGCAGAATCAAATTCGGGAAGGATTGTATTTGTAACAATCATCATCATCATTTGGCTTTACAACCCTGTGTGGGTCCTAGCCTCCCCAAGAATTCTCTTCCAGTCGTCCCTATCCATCGCCTTCCTCCACCAAGCACGTATTTCCATATTTCTCATATCTTGGTCTATGTTATCTAGGAATCTTGTTCTGGGTCTTCCTCTTCTTCTTTGACCAATAGGTCTATCAAGGAGCGTTTTTCTAGCTGGGTTGGTTTGCTCCATCCGCATTACATGGCCTACCACCTCAGACGTCCTATCTTAATGTGTTTTACGATATCTGGTTCCTGGTATATTCTATAGAGTTCATGTTGTATCGTCTTCTCCAGACACTATTTTCATTTACCGCTCCATAGATTCGCTCTCAGTATTTTTCTTTCGAAACATCCTAACATGTTTTCATGCTTTTTGTTAAAGTCCAGGTTTCTGAACCATATGTTAGGACTGGGCGTATTATTGTTTTGTAGAGTTTTACTTTTGTATTTATTGATATAGCTGTAGATTTAAAAAGGAGATATTTGTAACAATATGATTCATGTAATGCATGACACTGTACAACTTCTTCCAAATAAACACGTTTTGGCATGTTTTTAAAAGTTATTAAATACATACATACACAAAAGGGCATCTGCAGTTGCTAGTACTCTTTCTATTGATGGACTACATAATTGAAAATCCTTCTGAAATAACAAGGATATACTAATTTTATATTTTTAGGTATAAATTCGGCTTCCGCTCATCCGCGAGCGTATAATCCATGACGCTATAGAAGCTATTTTTACTGTGAATGAAAACTTATTTTATAAACTAGATCTAATGCATTATTTTTATTATTATAGACAGAAATATTCTATTCTATTGTTACAGTGTAAAGTGATCAGCAAGGAAAGATGTGATGCTAATTTTCCTAACCTCCAATCTTAAGTAAGCTATTTGATTGTTTAATCAGATATTATTTTAAAATTAATGCGGGATCGAGAGAAAAGCGAAATAAAAGAACAGCTCTTGATCTCATTAGAGGAATCTGGCAGTATAAATAAACATGTATATTATGCTTATAATTCGTTTTAAAAATGCTACATTACAAAGTGATACTAAAGGTCACCGGTTACCGTCCAAAGTGGTGATTATTTTTATAGGGGGGATCTTTTTATTCTGTACAAAATAATCACATAAAGCTTTCGACAACTGCTTGGCATCAGTACTCACCATCTATAGTTAATGTTATATTTTATTGGATATACTTCTTGCCAATCACCTTGTTGACAACATTCCACACAGTTTTATTTTTATTATCTGAGTTACTTATCAATTCATTATGAAATTTGAATTTAGATTTTTATGATACATAGTTCTACGCGAACTACTTATTTATCACATTAAAAGACTTACATTTACTTTGCTATCTGCAGGCATAAACGATCTGAACATAGCCTCGAAGTATCCACAGCGTGCAGCCAAAATTGTTTTGTGAGCAGAGATGAGGTTACCGTCCAAATTCAGATCTATATCACAGAATTCTTTACCAGTCACTCTCAAAAACATCGCCATATCTTGTTCCAGGGAACCACCAGCTGTATCAAACTGAGTGTCGTTGTTAGGCTGGAACAAATATATTGTAAATTAATCTATCGAGATATCATATGAATATTTACTATTTAAAACAAAACAAATATATTTTGAAACGTTTTACGTACCTTATACTGAGGCATTTGTTTCCTTCTTATAATTTCCACCATCAGACTTCTTTCTAGGACTCGAATTCTGAACTCATGACTATTTGGTTGTAATTACTTTCTTTTACGATAAATCGCAAGCAATACTCTTTGATGAAGTCTAACTGAAGTTGATCTGCGTTATGTAATGCTACCAACACGTTCTTTAAACATATCGTTGCATTTAGGTACTGAACACAAAGATGTTCTAATCGTGCCATGTTGAATTGTACTGCCAACCTAAAAGATGACGATAAGTCAGGCAAATAAATAAAACCAAGCACGTGAATTAAAGAGCACAGCAAGTCGTTTGATAAAGTGTTTAACACCCTGTGCTTCAGTACATATTGCAATGATTTTTCTTCTGTTTTTAAGTCTCGTATTTATTCTATTTATCTATCTAAAACCTTTTATTCGTCCACTATTGTATAAAGGCCTCCCCTTCTGTTTTCATTTCCCTTTTTCTTGAAGACTGTTTCGAGTTCCTCTGCGCTTTTACTTGTACAATCAACGCCGTCAACGTCTAACCTTAATTTGTTCTTATATAAATTAACACCAGTCAGTCTATTTCGGTATACGATAGGACTAGCCTTGCTCACGCTCCGCCTCAACCTTGAAACGCAGTATTGTGCGGTCCAATATTCAGACCTAATATGCAGTAAAACAACTTAATTGATAATTGATAAATTGACACATTGCAGAAAGTTGACGATGACTGACGATGACTGACAATGACACATTGAACCGATGGACAGAATACATATCACAACTGTTTGATGACAAAGATAGACAAGAAATCTCAAACGAATATACAGATGATACAGGGCCTGATATAATCAGAGAAGAAATAGAATATGCAATCAAACAAGCAAAAAGTGGTAAGGCCCCCGGTCCTGATGAAATTCCCGTAGAACTGCTCCAACTTATGGACGATGAATCTATTAAAATACTCCTAGATCTATTTAACACAATATATAGAACTGGAATAATACCTAGGGAATGGCTCCGTTCGACCTTTATTCTACTGCCAAAAAAGGCAAATAGAAAGGAATGCAACGAATATCGTACGATAGCTTTGATGGAGTCATGCTCTAAAACTGTTCTTAAAAATAATCCATAATAGGATCTATAGGAAATTAGACGTAGACATCAGTAACACTCAGATGAGATTCAGAAAAGGGCTGGGTACAAGGGAGGCTCTGTTTGCAATGAACGTTCTCTCACAGAGATGCTTAGACATGAACCAAGAAATTTACGCCTGCTTTATTGATTTCGAAAAGGCCTTTGACAAAGTACAACATGAACCACTAAGACAAGTTCTAATAAAGAAAAATATAGACAGCCGAGATATTCGAATTATATGCAATCTATATTGGAATCAAACAGCAAATGTCAAGGTTGAGGGCAGACTAACAGAAGAAATTCAAATCCGTCGAGGAGTCCGGCAGGGATGTATCTTATCGCCACTTTTATTTAATCTGTATAGTGAAGCTATCTGTGAACAAGCACTCGAGGAAGAAGATCTTGGTCTGATAATAAATGGTGAGACGATCAACAATATAAGGTATGCTGACGATACAGTTCTCCTAACGGAACGCTAGTAGAACTACAACGTCTCGTTCAAAGTCTCAATATATACTGTAACAGTTACGGCTTGAAAATTAATTTGAAAAAAACTAAATTTATGGTAATCACGAAATCAAAGAACATCAGAGCTAATCTTGTAATAGACAATACAACGATTGAGCGTGTGCCCTGTTTATAAATATCTAGGTGCTTGGATCACAGACGATACTGATCAAACAAAAGAGATTAGATGTAGAATAGAAATCGCTAGATCAATCTTTAATAGAATGCGCAAACTCTTTTGCAATCGTGATATCAATATAAAGTTACGAATACGAATGCTTCGGTGTTATGTCTTTTCTACCCGGTATATGGAGTTGAGGCTTGGATACTAAAACAGTTGACCATAAAAAACATCGAAGCTTTCGAGATGTGGTGCTATAGGCGCATTCTCAGAATATCATGGATGGACCGCGTCACTAACACGCAAGTACTCCAAACTTTAGACAAAAGATGCGCAATTCTAAATGAGATAAAAACTAGAAAGATGGAATACTTGGGGCACATTGTGAGAGGTGAAAAGTACGAACTTTTAAGAAACATCATGTAGGGCAAAATTAAGGGCAAAAGAAGTGTGGGAAGAAGAAAAATATCGTGGCTTCGTAATCTACGTGAATGGTTCGGGTGTAGTTCGATTGAACTTTTCAGGCGCGCTGCTAACAAAGTCGCAGTGGCCATGATGATTTCCAATCTCCGCTAGGAGTGGCACGAGAAGAAGAAGAAAGTTTGTTACCTTTGTTAATAATGTCTATGTTACAAGAAGATAAACATTCTAATAGGGACACACCTCGTTTGTTTAGGCCTGTGTCTTTGTGACACCCCACTGGGTAACCGGCAACTATAAAATCTTAAATACAAAACCTAATTTTTATTGAGGATATATATCCGAATTTTTTCGATTCGCGATAGATGGCGTTGTAATTGCAGAAAAGCAAGTAGAGATGATAAGTCTGCAAACTAAATTTTACGGTATTGAATACAGTTACGATTTTTTTGCAGAGTAAACATGGAGTTTCTATTTAAATTTTAAAGTTGCCATAATATTAAAGACGTGATTTTCGGTTCTTCATTTAGCAGTGTTTTTATCGAGGTATTAGACCGTTTACATAATTTTCGTAGGATAACGGAATAAATGGTTTTTTCTTTAGATTATAACGCCATTCATCAACAATTCGAAAAAATGTCTCGAATAAAAGTTATTTATTTTTGCATAAAGAATCCAAGTGTTTTAATTAATGATGCATATTTATGGTCTGAAGCATCACTGAAGAGACTCGAAGCATTTGAGATGTGGTGCTGTAGACACATCTTGAGGATTTCCTGGATAGACAGAGTTACCAAAGAAGAAGTATTACATAGAATGGGCAAAGAGTGCGAACTAGTCGTAATCGTAAAAGGTCGCAAACTAGAGTACCTGGGCCATATAATGCACAATGAACAACGATATCACCTACTTCGGATCATACTTCAAGGTAAAGTGTATGGGAAAAGAGGTCCAGGACGTAGAAGAATATCCTGGCTTCATAACCTGCGAAAATGGTTTAACTTAACCACTCCCGGACTTTTCAGGGCAGCAGTCAACAAAGTCAGAATAGCCATGTTAGTGTCCAACATCCGTAACGGATATGCACCATAAGAAGAAGAAGATCTATGGTCTACTCTACAATATTCTGTCACAGCATTTATTTTGTCTTGGTAAACCGAATCAAAGATTTCTCGTAGTCCACAAATATTACGACCAGCGGTTTGTTGTATTCCACTGTTTTTTTCTCAAGGTGTTTTTATAATTAGTAAGTGGTCGTTTGTATCATAGTCAGATCTGAAACCTACTTGCTCTTTAGCTAGATCTAAATCTAGTTTGCAAAACAATATCCAACGCAAAAACTTCAGGGTAAGCACATATGCACTTTTTATAAGGAGTTTTCAGTCTCCTAGTTAATAATAAGTCGTTTCCACTATAGTATGAATGGCTCCAGTGTGGATAATTATTAGATAGCCTTCTTCATCATACAGCTCTGTCACTTACATTCCTTTTTTAGGTGTCCTGGCTTTTGGCAATTGTAACAACTCAATGATCGTTTAGGAATTGCTGTAGAGGGAGAGGTGGTTGTTGATGCCCCTTTAAGTTCGTTAAGTAACTGTTGCAGTGTTGTCAGATGGGAATTCTTCTTCTTTACTACCTTAAATTCTAGTACAGTTTGACAGTAAACTTTTAAAAGTGAAATGCAGTAACGATACATGAAACAAAGTGAATTGCAGTGAAAATAATTTTATATAGTTTTGTATGATAAAGTAGTTAAAAAAATGTCTTTTTCTTATTATATTAGACCTTTGACATGTTCTTATCCTATATGTAGTAGGCTGCAGTTGTATTTCTGACGTTGACTGCCAGTTATCTCGCCACCTTTTAAATGGTCTTTGATTCCTTTGTTTCTGTAAAAATTTTTACTGCAAATATCATTTTTTGCTTCCTGTTTATTAAGCAAAAACTAATATTTCCTACACCATATTGGTAATCTTTGAATTCTTTAAAGTAACTCTGTGTCAATATTGACTTACCTATAAACGTCCATCATTCTGAGCACAATTCTATTCGAAAACGGATCTTCATCCTCTCTAGCTTGTTTCGTTGGATCAATGCAGTCCATGTAAATATAGTTGAGTACCATTTCGAAAGCTTCGGGGTCTGCATCCGGTAATTTTACTTCTAATAGAGGAATGTCCGTAAATGGAACTTTCGGAGTGCCTAAAAGGAAAATTACCTTTGACATTTTCATAGATGTTAGAAACCATGTACGGGAATATATATATATATATATATATATATATATATATATATATATATATATATTATATATGTATACAGAATGAACGAAATAAATTCGGAACATAGGAATATAATGTATTTCGGCTCAATTCTGCTGTAGGTGGTTGGCCAACAAAAGATTGTCAAATAATTATATTATATAAAAATCCCATATTTCAGCGGGCTGCTGGATTCTGAACTCATAAAAATTGAAAGCTACACATAAATCTACGATTTTATTATGCTGTCAAACCAGTTATAGTCCAGGAAATGTAGCATTTCACCTCGCAATTTTTTCGTGAGGCGTGGATTGACTTGAAATTTAACAGAAGGTAGGTAATAGCCTAAGGATCAAAATCTATATCGAACCAAAGTGCGCCAAAGCCTAGGGGGTGGTTGCCACCCCATCTCCGGGGTGAAAATTTTTTTTACGTTTTAACCACAGGTTTCGATTAGAAAAGTGATTCTAAACAAAAAATGTGCTATACATTTTTTTTATAAAATGATATTTTTCAAGTTATTCGCGATTGAAAGTAACAACTTTTAGACGAAAAAATCCAAGTTTTTAATCGATTTTTCGCGAATAACTCGAAAATAGTGCATTTTATCAAAAAAATTGTAGAGAACAAATGTGTAGCTTTTAAAAAGACAAATACAATTACAAATACAATATCAATGTTCAGCGGTTTTCTTCAAATGCCAAATTTGAAAGATTCAAAGTCAAATATCGGGAAAATGGTGCATTTTTGGAAGAAAACTCACAAAACCTTTTTTAAAGAGCATAAATAGACCTATCATAAAAAAATAAGGTCAATACCTCATTTTTACGAAAAAATCGATGAAAACAATCCCCTAAACACTCCCATAATTAAAATCGGTCTTCACCCTTCTGCAATTCCCTTTGTACATGTATTGTTAATACGTCCAAGAAGTTTGACCCATTTAAAATGCTTAGTTTTAGAAAAAGTACAGCTTAAAGCGAGAAACGATTTACAATTTCATATTTTTTACCCTTCTTTTTTTAAATATGCCCGAAAATACTGAATATATGAAAAAAATAAAAATTACCAAATTGTAGCTTTTTTAATGACTAAAATTATCCTTTATTTAGATTTGTTGTACAATGAATATTTGGCGAGATATAGCCGTTTAAAGCATCGATTTATGATCAAGCACCATCTTTTTCGAGCCCTTTAAACTCACCCCATTTAAAAACCAAGGGTTCCAAAAAGATTTAATTCACAGATCCTTGTAGCTATTAAAAACCTCTACAAATCGTTTTTGAAGAAACACTCTATCATTAAAAATTAAAGGAAATACGTTAAAAAAACCAGTTAATTTTTTTCCGGAAAATTCCATTAGTATAGTACAGTACATTTCGGAGCATAATAATCTACAAAACCGGTATATTAGCTAGTGGGGCGTTATACATTCGAAATTTTAAGCGTTCTTATTATGAAAGCCCATACAACAGAATAAAAACATCTGCTCATATGTCTATGGCTTGGCAATGAAAATATCAGAGCAACAGATTGGGGATGGTATTCCAAAGATGGTTTGTTATTACCCGTACGCATGAACAAACAACCTGCACCCGATAAATTTTTGAAAATTATTTTTTGCCAATGCAAAAAAGGATGCGGCGTTTCATATGGGTGCAGAAAAGTTGGTTTATACTGTAACTCTACTTGTTCTGGGTGCTCAGGTGAAGGGTGCAATAACAGTCCACCAATAATTGAAGAAGATGAGGATGACATAGATCACGATGAAGATGTAATTGATGACGAATAAAATTAATATTATAATTGTTTTACCTATAAATGTAAATATTTTCAACTATTTATGTAAATGTATAAGAATATATGGTGCCTTTTATGTTGATAATTTTTTTTTATTTAATTCTACTTTTTTCAATTTATATCTTATAAATTAGTTTATAAAAACTGCAATGTTGTAAAGGGTGATTTTCAACAGTGGAAAAGTTGCAAAATTTTGGCAAATAATTGTTTTCACCTATAGCACTCATAACAATTGATTTTTAGGGTTGAAAATGTATGAATTTGTATTTTAAAGTATAAAAAACTCACTATTTAACTAATCCAAACCAAATTTCACTCATCTTAAGATTTGTAATATTATTTTACAATTTTTGAAAATTAGGGGTAGTTTTCACCCCTAAGAACAATCAGGGTTCATCGGCATGACATAAACTATAAAGCAGAGGGTGAGTTGAGCTTAATTCCAAATTTTTATGCAAATCGTTTCAAGGTGAAATCATTTTCTTCGCATTACTAATTTTTTTATATTAATCTCTAATAAGGGTCGCTTTTTAAGGGTTGAAATATAAAGGAACTTTATTCAAAAGCACGAAACTATCATTATTTAATTAATTCAAACCAAATTTTACCCATATTCAGGTTTAATATGTTATTTTATCATTTTTGACAATTAGGGGTAGTTTTCACCCCTAAGAACACTCAGGGTTCGTCGACATGACATAAACTATAAAGCAGCGTGGTGAATTGAGCTTAAATCCAAATTTTTATCCAAATCGATACAAGGCGAAATCATTTTTTTAGAATTAGTAATTTTTTACATTAATCTCTAACAAGGGTTGCTTTTTAAGGGTTGAAATATGATGGAACTCTATTCAAAAGTATAAAATAATCATTATTCAACTAATTCAAACCAAATCTTAACCATATTCAGGTTTAATATGTTATTTTATAGTTTTTGACAATTAGGGGTAGTTTTCACCCCTAAAACCCTTCAGCGCACTTCGGTTCGATATAGATTTTGATCCTTGGGCTATTACCTACCTTCTGCTAAAATTTCAACTGGATACAAGCAGGACGAAAAAATTGCGAGGTTTTAACTTTTTTCGAGCTTCATTTCCTGAACTATTATCGCCTCCTTAGACAAACCCGTCTTACGCAAACAACTTTGTTGCGAGACAGATAGTTGAACGATATTTTATACAATGTCTATACCCAGGTATGGATTGATTTTTTGTCCAAGTTTTATATTGGTCCACTATTTCAAATGCAGTTCAAACAGACATGTATTAAATTGTATGTTCCGTTATAATTTGGTTCAATCTGTATATATATGTATATATATATATATATATATATTATATATATATATATATATATATATATATTATATATATATACTACGCGTCAGAGAAAACGGGCCACCCACAATTTAGGAAATTTATATTATTCAGTTTCTTTTAATTTGTTTTATTAATTAAATTAAATGGATGTGTGTGATGAGATAGATCAAGCATGTAAAAAGAATACACAATTTAGTAAAACCTATTAAAGCATAAAATTCTTAGAATTCATTATTTACTAATCGGCAAAACTTTGTGGAAATTATTGTTTTGGGAACTGCATGAACTGTTGTAATATTTTAAAGAGTTTTAGAGATATCTTAATGTTACACTGGCCTGCTTACAGTGAAATGTATTTCTTAATAATGATGAAAAAATATCAAAAGTGTGTTCAGATTGTTACATTGCTGGAGCAAGTCAAAGGGGTGTGGCAAGACAATTTAATGTTCCTCAAGTGTTCAAGTTCCACAGTCCTCCTCAAGTGTGCAGAAAACTTCAACGATTTTTTGCGAGGGGACATCATCAACGGCGACTCGGTATGGGTGTCTAAAGGAAGATCACAGAGAAGATCATGTTCTCAGTACTAATACATTGCAAGACCGGGATAAACTGCTAGAATGCTCCAAAGCCATCTTCGGCAAGCTCAAGGACCAGCAATCAAAGTTTCTACTCTTAGAAGAAGATTAAAAGAAGAGAGTTTCACAGCTTGCAGGGCCATTACTTACTGCTGCTCACAAAAGATGCAGACTTGCATTTGCCTGTGAACTTGTCAGTTGGACAATAGACAATTGGAAAAAAGTATTGTTTAGAGCTGAATGTAGAATATCAATTTATGGAAAGTATGTGTGAAATAAGATCTATAGAAGGGCTGGGGAACGTTATGCTGCTTGCACTCGGTCACATTGTGTTGGTTTTTTGGTGGCTCAGTAGTGTTTTAGACAGGGATTTCTTTTGAGCACACACTGATCTCGGCCTTATTGAGACAAGCGTACTAACAACACACAGATCCTTACCCGAGATCCTACATCATATGATGCCATATTCTGGGGTTATTGGCAACAATTTTCTGCTTCTCTTCTTCTTTTTGTGCCACTCCTATCGGAGATTGGAAATCATCAAGGCTATTCTGACCTTGTTTACGGCTGACCTAAAGAGTTCATTAGTGGTGCAGCCAAACCACTCTCAAATTCCGCAACCATGACATTCTTCTACGGCCTGGATTCCGTTTTCCCTCTATTTTTCCCTGCATTATATTTTGAAGTAATGCGTATTTATGTCCTCTCATCAGGTGACCAAAATATTCGAGTTTTTCTTCGCTTTAGCGTTAACAAAATCTCTGGGTCTTTTCCTATTCTTCGTATTACTTCACAGTTTGTTATTCTTTCAACCCAACTAATCTTCAGCATTCGATGGTAGCACCACATCTCGAAACTTTCAATATTTTCATGTTGTTCTATTTGAGAGTCCAGGCCTCTACACCGTATAATAGCGTGTTAAATACATAGCCTCTCAGCATTCTTAATCGTAGAGGGATGCTTATATTTCTGTTGCAGAAAAATTTTCTCATCTTTATAAAGGTGGCCCTGCCAATTTCGATACGTCTTTTTATTTCACTGTTTTGGTCTCCAGTTTCGTTTATTAAAGTTCCCAAGTATTTGTAACTTGATACTTTTTCAACTTGAGTGCCGTTTATACTAATATACGCTGGTTGTGTCATGTTTTTACTGAAGACCATATACTTGTTTTATTTAATATTGATATTTATACCATAATCGTTGCAAGCAATATTTATGTCTGTAAGTAATCTTTGTAATTCTTCTAC